TCTTTTATCGTAAAAAACGCCGAATGCCTATCAACTTGAGAATAACGACCGTATACTAAACACAAATGGTTATTTTGATTTAACACTTAGCATAGATGTTACTGATAGTCACACCAACCTAGAGAATATTCCACGATTTTCGCGCGAAGTTTAGATTAAAACATCTTACTATTTTTTGCTCACAGTTGTATATACATTTATATGCATACATAAAGCAAGTTAGGTGCCTTCAATTAATTGTATTGATATATATAATAAATAAATTGCGCTCTTAATTAAGTAAATTAAATATTCATAACCATAAATAAATGCAAAATAAACTGCTCGGAAAGCGTGTTTAAGCAAAACGCTTATTGTCAGTCATATACACATACACACACACAATCATTTATATAAAAGCACATATCAGTTTCCATTAGACAAACAATTTCATTAATAAAATGACAGCAATTCAAAAAATTGCTTATAACATCCATAAAAGCAACGAAAAAAGTTGAAATGTGGAAAAATTGAAAAATTGCTATGAGCGCGCAATAGCTCGTGGAATTTTTCAGAGGCTAATAGCTTGCAGCTAACCTTCTGCTGTTGTATGGTATATTCGTAGTTTTTAATTATTTATGCAACCAATATTGCTTTGCATAATGTTCGAAAAAATTACTGCAATTTGCATGCATTGGCAATAATCAAAAGTGTTTTTCGAATGCTATTGTGTGCGGATGAATTGGCTTTGGATATGCCAGCAGTTAACTTGTATATTGCTGACTTTTAACCCTGAGAGGGTGCCAGAAAACAAAATAAATGATGAGACTGTCAAAATTGCCTATGGGGTGGTTACCAATCAAGCTCGAAAATAGCCTAGTTGCTAGAAATGATCCACGATAAAATTTCCGAAAGGACGGGGAAACTATATAAGTCACAGCTCAAGACTTACAGTCATCACATGTGAACCCGATGGGCATTAGTGATGACAATATGTGTAGAACGTGCTGGGAAGTAGGTTTGGGTGAGACGCTGGAACTCCTCCTCCGCTTCCATCCGGCCTTAACTACACCTCGGCTTAAATATCAAAAGGCTTCGCAGTTCAAGTGATAATGGAACTTGCAAAATTGGACATGAAGTCTCCATTAAATTTGATGTTGTTGTTATACCGGTGGCTTGGGTGGTGAGATTCGGGTTGCTTGTCATCGAAGCAAGATAATGGCAGGCTCAGATATCGTGCTGTTTCGACGGGATTGAACCGTACGAAGAAACGTGTTAGATGAGCGGGGTCTTCTGTTCATGSAAAGAGGTGGTTAGAGTTAAACGAGGTCTTATTGCACAGAGGATTTCCGTGAGTATCTACTAGCGACGGCCCTACCTCATGTTGCTTTCTTTGAAGCACATAGATCAATACATTGCGTTGATCAGCGCCACAAGTATAAATGTACACGTATTTTTTGGTTCCAATTGGTCAGGTGGAAGTGACACTTTTTCCATCTTGGTCGGGTTCGAGATCGATCTAAAATGTCTGCCGTGCTGTGGGCTACAGTGCTCAGAGCGAAGTTGTAAAGGGTCACTTTAGAATCGCGGGGCAACACAAGCTCTTCGTCTGCAATGGTTGGTGTTTGATTTTAAGTACGCCATTCACTCAGAGGGAGTCGGTGACGGTAGTGGTAATGACTCAAATGTGAATGGCCTCAGTGTGTGTGTGAGTGAAGTTTGTTGAGCCTCGTCGGCGTACTGTTCGACGTCATTGACGTAATCAAGGAAAGACCTCTTGTTGTTCCAAGGAGGAGGCTCGCTTCACGCAGACAACTGCAAGAATAGTTTCTGCGAAAAGATGCCAGCAAAAATTGTTTGAAAAGAAGCTCATTATGTTCCTTAACCGGAGCTATGAGGTCCTACACACTGTAAAAGTCAGTGAGTATTAATAATTATGCTCCATCTGGAATTGAAAAGGACTTGCAGGTCAGCCAGGTGTAACCTAACCTGGTTATAATATGCTCTTAAACTAGCTTGTCGAGATTGCGCGGCAATTCTAGTTTAAAATTTTTCAAAATTCAAGTTCTCTAACATACTTTTCATCTAATACCAATATTATATTACTTTTGCTTTACTGTGCTGAGCACTGCTTTAGTTTCTATGCCAGCTCACTACAGCCACCGGGTTCACCCGAGGGTTAATGCAAACAAACTCCGTGTATTTACCATATAAAACATGAATGTTTATAAAAACTTGTTTTCTCTCACTGTTTTTTGCGCAGAATATTAATAAAAGTGTGGCTGTTTTTGTTTTGTGTTTTGTTTTTCCTTGCCCGCGCGCCACCACCACAACCACTACATTGGATTGGATTGTTTGATTGCATGAATAAAGAATAAATGAATTGGAAAAAATCAATAGTCAGAGCGAGTGAAAACTGCTCGAATGCACAGCGCGTATTCAGTGTTGAGTTATCGATGCTGAGTGTTGCACAAAAACCAGCACGCACATACACACCTACACGCACACATCAAAAGCATTGCTTCGTATATAGTTTTGTTGCTGCAAAAAGGATGTGCAGACACTTCACCAGTTGCTGTTGCTATCAGCTGCATTCTTCTATGCTTCGCGTGGCAACAACAATGCATTAACTGCTGAGCGCGTTTGCTTATTTGTGTGTGTGCGTGCGACATTGCTTTGTCAGCGCTTTTATTGTGTGCGCGTGTATGTGTTTGTATATTGATTGTAATGTTATTGGTTTTGGGTTTTGCTGGCAAAACATAGAAATGCAATTACATCCGCTTTTCATCGCGGCGAAGCGTTCTCACTTTACACGCTTGTTTGACGCGTTGCGGTCGGACATGCACACTTTGACGGAGCAACGACAGCAACAGCCGCCTGCTGACTGTGTTAAAATTGCGCTTATCACATACATATGTGTGTAGATGTATCTGCATATAGGGGTGAGTATGTAAGTGATCTGTAACACATAACTGCCGTTTAATTTCACTTTTTATCTCAACTCATTTGTATTTCATTGTTGCTTTATTAATAGCTATGTACCACTTGCATATCGCATATCTGTTTTTATTTGTTTGCATTTTCAATTGAAGCACTCACACACTTACACTAATTAATTTTGTATTGCGGTTGCAAGTTGCACAGTTTGTTATCTTTTCGATAAAATAAAAATTAATAAAATTAAATTCATGAAAATTATTAATATTACAAAGTATGGTGTACAACAACAAGTTATGTATATCAACAATATTCAATTGAAACATTTTTAAGCGCGCTGGTTAAGTCTGGCAACTGCAACGAAAATGCGTGACAAACGAAATTCCGTCACGCTCGACATATACAGGGCGGCATAAAAGAGTAATCGTTAGACATTTTTGTTGGATTTAACGGTGTAATACTTGTGTAGTTTCGAAAAAACAAGGTTGCCACTTATTTGAAATTTACAAGTGAAAACTTCTAACTGTTTTAAATTCGAACTATAAAATAAAAATATATAAAATATTTAATATCAGCAGCACTGAAGTTATAATACCCTTTGCAGTTGCATATATGGGCATTTAAATTTCTTTGTTCTGTTTTTGATCGATCAGTTTCTATGGCAATTAAAAGCTATTGTAATCCGATCTACACACAGTATAATCGGATATTATAGTGCTGCTTTATAGAATAATCTGTATAAAATTTTATGAAGATACTATGACAAACAAAATAGTCTCCATAAAAGCACATGAGTTTGATAGGTCAGTTGTATGACAGCTACATATTTACTACAGTAGTCCGGTCTAAACATATTCTTCCAAGATTTATGCGTAGAATTGAATAAAAATCAATACATCTATATCAAATGTAATGACGATATCTTGTCAAATAAAAAAGTATTGCAGATTCTTTAGTCTGTGAGGCAGTTAAGTGCTATGTTATCCGATACCAGTGGCTCTTCTTCTTGAGAGAGAAATCTGTTCTTACTTTTCCCAATTATGAGCTCGATCTGTTAACCAGTTTGCTTACAGAACCTGTTTAAGTCTGCATACCTTAGCAGAGCGTTGCGATTTTTACAATGGATAAAAAATTTCGAATAATGAATTTGAATAAAAATTTTCTATTTCTAACCAAACTTCTTGTGCGGAATCTTCAATCAAATGTTGGAATAGGCTAACGATGAATCAGTTTTATTAAAAACACAAGTGATGGTATAAATTATTTAAATACGGACAAGAGATAGTTGAAGATACGCCTGGTTCTGAAGATCTTCGACATTTGAAAATATTGAAAAAGTGAAGTATATCGTGCGTGAAAATCGTCACGCAAGTATTAGAGAAATGGCAAGAAGGATCGATATTTCTAGTGAGTCCGTTCGAATAATTTTGGTGAATATTTTGGGCATGAAAGGTGTTATTGTAGAACTCGCGTCGAAAAGCAGAATTTGTTTCAAAAAGAGTGCGATTATGACCGAATTTAAAGATAAAAACGCAATGAATACCAGCGATCAACCACTGGACCGTGGACGCCGTTTTCAGTCGATCGAAAAGTTAAAACAAAATTTGCTGAAGGGGCTCCCGAAAAGTTCTTATGAAAAGTTGTTCAAGGCCTGGAAAAATGGTTGCCATAAATTTATTACAACTGGCTGGGATTACTGTGAAGGCGACAATATAAATATTGTTGAATAAATAAATGGTTTGCGTAAGGTCTCCGTCGTTTCGTTACAGGAAAATTTTATATTCCCTGTTCAGGGTATAATAACTTTCCCTGACATAAAGTTTGTAAGCTGTAACCCGTTTGTCTAATTATGATTCCAATAACTTTTAAATTTCAAATAAGTGAACGCTTTTTATATTTATATGAATAAGTATATAGTAGCTCATGAACTTTTTTTGTGTATGATTATTATTAGATATCGCATTAAATATATATATGTACTCAGTAGAAAACTGCAACTTGGATCCATCTCTATGGTTTTGTTCTCTCTTTGCATGGTATGTGTATATTTGTCTGTGTACGCAGCCATATTGTAAATATCTTACCTTATCGAAATCTATGCGATTTTTTGGCACTAGGACTTCTATCAGTGAGTCTAAGGGTCCAGAAACTATTCTACCATTTATATACATAATACCACCGGATCCCAATACGGAGCTCTGTAAATAAAACAATTTGAAAAGTATTTTATTGAATAATATAAAATACGAAATTGTTTATTAAAAAGTATCACAACAACAAAAATAATTTGTAATATATTTTATTCGTAATATCATCCCACTAATTTCATTCTTATGATTATAGGGACCATATTATGTATAAAGAGACTACATTTTGAACTCAGTATTAACATGTTGGTTCTATTACTACCAAGTCATATTACTGTTATAAGTTTGCTTTGAAAACTAATGATGCTCTATCCCAAATCTGACCAGGTTAGTTAACATATGCTTATTTCTTCACAAAGCCTTTCTGAAATGCATTCTTTTCTGTTTGAGTTATCCTTTGTAGGTTATTAGACACGCTGCAACTACTTTTTAGAAAGCTCGAAACTACACAAGTAATATCAAAATATAATCAAACAATTTTTGCAAAATATTTTTCCATTGCAAAAAAATCTATAAAAGAAATTATTGTGCAATATTTTTCGGTTGAATAAAAATCTAAAAAAAATTATTGAACAAATTATTGTGTAATTTTTTTCGATTGAACAAAAATCTATCAAAAAAATATTTCGCAATAAATATTTTTTAATGATATAAAAATCTATAAAAATTATTGTGCTTTTTATTGAATCGAAAAATATATAAAATAAAAAACTTAGGTAAACAAAATTATTGTGAAAAACATTTCTGATGAGTAAAAATCTAAAAAGATCAAATTGTGACATTTGTTTTAGTGAATAAAAGACTGTCAAACAAATATTATGCAATACTTTATGCTAATAGAAAAACTGAACAAAAAATTGTTGTGCAATATTTTTTGATAATAAAAAAGTCTAAACAAAAATTAATGTGCAGTAGATTTCGCTGGTATAAAATCTAAACAAAATATTATTGTGCATTATTTTTAAATCGATAAAAATCTGAATTTTAAATATTTGTCGATACTATATAAATCTAAACAACAAAATATTGTGTAATACTATTTGCAGGTATTAAAATTTATAAAAAATGATTTGTGCAGTATTTGCGTTAGTAAAAGATGGAAACAAAAAATTATGTACACTTTATTTAAAGTTATAAAAATCTTAGATCAACAATATTATTGTTTATGCACTAGTTCGCTGATAAAAAAATTTATTGCGCAATATTTTTTGGTAATTAGGAAATTTGCAAAAAAA